ATAAAAAAGAAGTTAAGTTCGAACGCGCAGCAGCAGAAACTCCCGCTGCGCTGCTGCTGCGCCCGGCGCAGCAGCAGGGCTTGGGGCTGGCCGCCGGCAGCCCCGCGGCGGCGAGAAGGTGGAAAAGGCAATTAAATTAATTTTGAAATTAAAATCTTGAATTTAAATTCGAATTTAAATTCAAAATTTAATTCAAATTCAAATTCAAATTCAAATTTCCTCTTTGAATTCCCGCCAAACCCGCGGGACGCCGCCAGCGACGCCGCGCCGCAGGTCTCGCTCGTTCAGAAGATCCAGTTCGTTCTTTGATTCAACTTGAGCTTTTAATTCACATTTTAACCCTTTTATTCCTATTTAAACCTTTTATTTGCATTTAAAACCTTTTTATTCATCTTTTAAATCTTTTAATTCATGTTTTGAGCCTTTTGGTTCATTTTCCCTTGTCTAGTTCCTACGCTGTGCTCAGGTGTACGTACACCTCACGCGAGCACTGCGCGACACCCCGAGGAATTCTTCAAAGAATTTATCATCACTTTTATTTGCGGAATTAATTTTACTTTTGTTGAAGGAATTAATTGCCACTTTTATTCTTTTATATTTCAATAAATATAAAAGAATAAAAGTGGTAAGGCCAGACAATTCAAAAAATGCATGCATGCATATTTCGAATTGAACTCTGCCAGTTTCAAAGAAGCAAAATCAAATTATAAAATAAAAAAGAAATTAAAGAATAAAACAATTCATCTGAATAAATAAAACTGCGCAAATAACCACAACTTAGAGTGCAGTTAGTTTCCAAATGCGAAAAGTTTTACTTCAGAAAAAGCTTTTTCTTTTCTTTGAAGAGTTATTTCGAATTTAACAAAAGAGGAAATCAGCTGTTAATAAAATGGCATTAATGGCAAAGTGTGGGGCCATCGAACGCGCCAATTGCTGCCATAAAAGCTTTCAATTAAAGTGCAATTTCTGGCATTTAGTCCCTTCATATCTCTTCATTTCCATTTATTTTTTGATTTAAGTTACTTGCCTTTTCAAATTCTTTAAATTAAATCAAATGCTACAAAAGAATAAAACAAACTTACATCAAATTAAAGCTCTTGTGCTGCAGCTCATGGGCCCCTTAATAGGACTTCTAAGCTTGCATGCCCAGGGGCCCCCAGGGGTACTACACCCGGGGGCCCCGGGGGCCCCCAAGGGTACTAGACCCTGGGGGCTCCGGGGGCCCTCAAGGGCACTAGACCCTGGGGGCCCCGGGGGCCCCCAAGGGTACTAGACCCTGGGGGCCCCGGGGGCCCCCAAGGGTACTAGACCCTGGGGGCCCCGGGGGCCCCGGGGGCCCCCAAGGGTACTACACCCGGGGGCCCCCAAGGGTACTAGACACAGGGGGCCCCGGGGCCCCCAAAGGGTACTAGACCCTGGGGGCTCCGGGGGCCCCCAAGGGTACTAGACACAGGGCCCCGACTCAACACACAAATTAGTCCTTCTTTTGTTGCCTCAGAGTGCATGCAAAAGTGCCAAAAGTGGTCCATTTGAAGCTCCATTTTGGCTTTTTTTGCGATAAATTATTCCGGAGAATAAAAGAAAAGAAGAAATCTAAAAAGAGGATTAAAAGCTTTTCCGTTTCCCCCAAAAACTGCCAAATAAAAATCAAAAAAGATCTTTTGGGGTTTTGGGTTGAAGGAAAAGACCTGGGAGAAAATGCGAATATTTCATTTTCCAAGACCCAATTAGAATTAACAATAATAGTAATAATAAAAAGATTAATAAAAGTTAAATAAAATGTTTAATTTGTTTGTCGAAGTCACAAAGTGGAACGGAGGCTTTCGTTGTCTGTCTGGCGGTGACTGCGGCGCGAGGTGTCTGTACACCCCATTTTAAGCGGCGTCGGTCTGCACCAGCTGTTCTTCTCTTGGGCGTTATTTAATTTAATTTAAAAAGTGAAAACAAAATAATAATTCAAATTAAAGTAAATAATTTAAAGTAAATAATTTAAATAAAAGAAGTCCGGAAGAGTTCTTCACACTGCAACCATCGCGGGTGCTTCGGTGGGCGCTGCGTCGCTCACTGCGCTGCAGTCCAGTGAGCAGCAATTTCTCCGTTTTTTTCGTTTTTTTATTTTTTATTTTATTTAAAATTAATTTTAAAAGTCAAAATGAACTATTTAAAACGCTTCCAGCCGCCGGGTGTACGTACACCCGACCCCAGCCAGCTCGGGCGCTCGAGGCGGCAACTCCCTCTGCTTCTGGGGCGCAGCGGGCAAATTAGTGGGCGAGAAAGGGCTTAAAGGCATTTAAAAGATTAATTTTTGAATTATTTATTTTTTAAATTCAAAATTTCGCCAAAAAGAATTCAAATAAAGCCATTTGGAGCAGAACTTCGCGTGTGGGGCCGCCAGGTGTCTGTACGTACAATGGAGCCACCGCTGGGGGCCACGCGAGAGCCGCAAAAAGCCATTTCGGCTTTTCTTCGAAACTTTGAAATTTTATTTCCGAAATAAAACCATTTAAAGATCCACAAGGCCAAATGGCCCCAGGGGAGGGCGGAGGGGGCGGCGGGAAGGTCCAGTGGTCACGCCGGTGGTCACGGGGGGCCCCCAAGCAGCAAAGGGAGCTCGGGGGGCCCCAAGGGGGGCCCCAAGGGGGCCCCAAGGGGGGCCCCAAGGGGGGCCCCAAGGGGGGCCCCCAAGTGGTGGGGATCTCGGTGGCGAAGGGGGGGCCCTGGAGATGTGGGGGCCCCCGGAACCGGGGGCAAAGAGCCTAAAAACAGGCGATTGAACTTCTTTTCATGAGAAGAAGTGACTCTTGACTTCAAGAGAACAAAATGACTGAAGAAAGCCCCGCAAGTTCTTCCCAGAAGAGCCCGGGGGGAAATGGGGGAAATTGGCGTTGGTGGCGTTTTTGGGGTGTACGTACACCCCAAGAACGTGTGCAATTATTAGGAGTTTGGCCTTTTAATTTCTCCGCAGAAATGCGGAGAAATTGCGCAACAAAAGGCCCCATTTGCGCAGCTTGGAGCTTGCAATGACTCCCAACTGCTTCTGAAATAAATGCTGAATTCTAATGGATCAAAATGCGAAGTGAAAGGCCTCTTTGAGTGGCCGGTTGCTGGGGTGTACGTACACTGCGCGCGGAGCGTGCGTCGAGTGGCCCGAGGTGAGCGGGGGTTTGCGCGAGTGTTAAAATAAAATGAAATTAAATAAAATAAAGTGAAAATAAACATAATTAAATAATTAAACATAACTACATTAAATTAAATCAAATTAAACGGTTCATTTCGCAAAAAAAGACTGTCTTTCCGTGGAACCTGAGGCGCCGCCCGCCGACAAGCCCGGGACCGGTTCGTGCCAGGCCGATCCAGCCCTTTGGAGATGTTTAATTTGATATTTTAAAACAAATTAATGTTTAAAACATTAAATTTTAAATATATTTCAACTTTAAATCCTTTAAAAAGGCTTTCTTTTCGGATTTCCGCGCAGCAGCTTCGGCAGCCACGCAGCGCTACTTCTCCAGGTGTACGTACACCGCAGCTGCTGAGCAGCACTGAGCAGCAGTTCAGAATTCAATTTGCTTTTTTCATTTATTTAATTCCGCAGCATTTCCACTCTTTTTGCTGGCCTTTTGTGGCTGTTGCGCGGCAGGGAGGGCTAGGCCTCCAGCTAGGGTTTAGGGTATTCAGGAGGGCCAAACACGCGGATTTAGGGTTTAGGGTTTAGGGTTTGGGCCTTCAGGAGGGCCAAACTCGAGGGTTTAGGGTTTAGGGTTTAGAGACTGAGTTGCTGGGGCCTCCAGTGTACAGACACTGCGGGAAACAGCCGTGGCCTTCTAGGGTTTGGGGTATTGAAAAGCAAAAAGAAATTAAAACGAGGGTTTAGGGTTTTGTTTTGCTGCTGCATGCACCTCAGGACTAGGGTTTAGGGTTTAGGGTTTAGAAGGCGGTTTGTCTTGAAAGGGTTTTTAGGCATTGGGCCATTTTGGGTTTCTTTATTTGTCTTGCTGCTCCTTGCTGGCAAAAGATACAATCAGGGAATTAAACTGAGAAGATTTGCTCATTTGCAAGATTCTGCTGCTGCTTCTAGGGCGACGCAAAAGACCTGCTGATCTTCACTTTCTATTTCCTCCTGCAGCTGCTGCTGCTGTTGCGTGCTGCTGCTGCTACTGTCGCGTGCCGCTGCTGCTCCTGTTACGTGCTGCTGCTGCTGCTGCTGCGTGCTGCTGCTGCTGCTGCTGCTGCTGCTGCTGCTGCGTTATTCGGATAAACAAAACTTTAATGGAGGTAAAGAGAACTAAAAGTGCTGCTGGCAATTTGGCTGTTGGGGTGTATGTTTGGAAAATTTATTTTATTTCATTTATTTTTTTTTCTATTTTTTTGGATTTAAAAACTCTGGTTATTATTATTATTACTATTATTATTATTATTACTATTATTATTATTATTATTATTATTATTATTATTATTATTACTATTACTATTATTATATTATTATTATTTATTATTCTGTTTACCTCAGGGCTTATTTTATTTTAAAAGAATAAATCGAAGCAAATTCAAAAAGACAGAAATGCCAATTTGAATTAAAGAGGGGGCGAACAGAGATGCGGGGTGTATCTACCCTGAGGCAGCTGCTGCTGCTCTTGCTGCTGCTGCTCTTGCTGCTCTTGCTGCTGCTGCTGCTGCTGCTGCTGCTACTGCTGCTGCTGCTGCTGCTGCAGTGTGAGGGGTGCTATCAGGAACGGCGCTGCTGCGCTGCTTGGTTAGTACTACAATGAATGAAGGCTCCCAGAATTCATTTGCTTCAGCTCTTGTGCTGCACTGCAGCAGCAGCAGCAGCAGCAGCAGGTGCTGCTGCCGCAGGCTGGTGGTTGTTTTCAAAGCGTTATGGGTTCGCAGGCCGCGAGACCACCTCTAGGGTTTAGGGTTTAGGGTTTAGGGTTTAGGGTTTAGGGTTTAGGGTTTAGGGTTTGAAGGCGCAGTGGAGCAGCTTTGGCTGCGGAAAGGAATCGAAGCAGGCGGGAGGTGGGGAGCGAGGGGCTGGGGTGTACGTACACCCGGCGCGGGGAAGTGGAAAGCGAAAGAAAATAAAAAAAGGAAAAAAAAAAGGAAATTGCAAGTTGAATAGTTGCGGTGTACGTACACCGCGCAGCCCCGATGCACGGGGTGTCACTGCAGCGCTTTCCGGCGGCAGCCGGCGAGTTGGGGAAATCTGCTGCGCATTTTCTTTATTTTGGAGTTTTAAAAAGCTTTAAATGTTAAATTAAACGGCAAAATCTCTTTATTTTCTGGAATGAAGGGGCGGCTTTGCTGGTTTGCGTCTTCGCGAGGCAGCCACATGCGCAGGCGGCTTTCCCCGGCCTGCGCCTCCGCTTTCGCCGCAGGACTCCGCGCAATTCTTTTTCTTTTCTTTTGTCTTTAAATGATTTCCATTTTCGTCCTCAAGCCGCCTCAGATCGGCTGATCTTCCGCAGCTTTCCGGGCGGCGACGCGCGAGCGCCCGCGCAGCAGCAGCAGCAGCGGCAGCAGCAGCAGCAGCAGCAGCAGCAGCAGCAGCGGCTCTTCTTCCGTCCGCGTTCTCCGCTGCAGCCTCAGCCCCTCCAGCCCTGGCCGGCCTTCTGCTGCTCAGCTGCGGGAACGCCCTTAAGGGCGCTGCGTCGAACCCGGCAGCAGCACCAGCAGCAGCAGCAGCAGCAGCAGAAACGGCCGCAGCAAAGGCAGCTAAAGCGACAGCGGCAGCAGCAGCTGCTGCCGCGACCTGCGAAGGAGCGACGCTGCGGGGCAGACGCGTCGAGCAGCAGCAGCAGCAGCAGCAGCAGCAGCGGCTGCAGCAGCGGCTGCAGCAGCAGGGGCAGCAGCAACACCGTTCGCTGCAGCGCCACCAGCAGCACCGCAGCCGCAGCCGCAGCCGCAGGGAGAGCAGTAGAACTCGCGGCACTAGCAGCAGCACTAGCAGCAGCAGCAGCAGCTGCAGCAGCAGCAGCAGCAGCAGCAGCAGCAGCAGCAGCATTTGTTTGGCTATGGATGAATTTTCAGGTCTTAGTTTGCTTTCATTTCTTGCTCGAGGCACTCAAGTATGAACAGCCCTTAGTCTTGGCCGCTTGGTGTTCTTTTCTAGTTGCTTTTTTTGTTAGTCTCGCAGCAGCAGCAGCAGCAGCACAGCAGCAGCAGCAGCAGCAGCAGCAGCAGCAGCAGGGATGTTTGCTTCGCGTTTGGGCGCTGCGCGCCCCACCAGACGGCGAGGCTGCTGCAGGCTGCTGCTGATTTACGCAGCTTTCTTAATTGTCTTTTCCCCTGCGTTTGAAGAGCCTCGCCTTCCTGCTGCTCCTGCTGCTGCTGCTGCTGCTGCTGCTGCTGCTGCTGCTCGCGGCGCTGCTGCTGCTGCTGCAGCTCCGCCGCCGCCTCCCCCGGCACATCCGGGTTTGCTCAGGCGACTAGGACGCAGCATTAGAGGTAAATAAACATAATAAAAATAAATAAAAATAATAAAAATAAATAAAAATAAAAATAAATAAAATAATGATAATAATAATAATAATAATAATAATAATAATAATAACAATACTTATGTTGCATTGTTTGCTGCTGCAGTTTGCTGCTCTCTTCTGCTGCTGCAGTTTGCTACTCTCATGTGCTGCTGCAGTTTGCTGCTCTCTTTTGCTGCTGCAGTTTGCTGCTCTCTTTTGCTGCTCTCTTTTGCTGCTGCAGTTTGCTGCTGCAGTTTGCTGCTGCAGTTTGCTGCTGCAGTTTGCTGCTGCAGTTTGCTGCTGCGTTTTGCTGCTGCGGGTGCTTGGTGTGCGTACACCTGAGGAGGACTGCGCATGCCTGCATTTAAAAACAAAATAAATAAAATAAATAATAAAATAAATAAAATAAAATAATAAAATAAATAAAATAAATAAAATAAATAAATAAAATAAATAAAATAAATAAAATAATAAAGTAAATGGCATTTACTTTTGCTGCTGCTTGCTGCAGACATATTCCGGCGGGGGCCCCCTAAGGGGGCCCCCCCGTCAGCAGCGGGCGGCGCCGCAGCAGCAACAGCTGCTGGCGTTGGTTCGCTGCAGAGCAGCGGGCCTGGAGCAGCAGCAGCAGAAGCAGCAGCAGCAGCAGCAGCAGCAGCAGCAGCAGCAGCAGCAGCAGCAGGTCGTGTTTCGCGCGTGGAGGGTAAGGGCCTAGCAGCCGAAGCAGCGGGCGGCGCAGCGGCGGGCCCCGGGCCGGGCCCGCGGGGCCGCAGCAGCAGCAGCAGCGCAGCAGCAGCAGCAGCAGCAGCAGCAGCAGCAGACCCGGCCAAAGTGGTGTGGCACTCGCTCGGGCTGCCGCACTTCCGCAGCAGCAAAGTGCAAGATGTGCTGGAGCACTGGCATGTGGAAGCAGCAGCAAACTTGCTGGAGTCTTTTCATTTGCAAGAGTTGCTGCGGAGTTACTTGACAGCCCTGGACTGGGCGGGGCAGCTGTTTGCGCAGCAGCAGCAGCAGCAGCAGCAGCTGCAGCAGTTCACGCGGGACACCGTTGCTGCTGCTCTCGACGTGGACGCCTGCAGCAAAAGGCTCCTCTACCTCTCCGCAGTCCCTCTTGTTGCTGCTAAGTCTTCAGAAGCTTTTGATGTCGAAGCAAGAAAGACAAAGACTCTCCATGTCTTGGGAGTCCAGAGTGTGCTGCGGGGCCGTTTGCTGCTGCTGCTGCGGCTGGTCCGCGACAGCAGCAAGTTCCTCTGCAGCGCGCTCACGCAGCAGCACCTCCAGCTGCAGCAGCAGCAGCAGCTGCTGCTGCAGCAGCAGCAGTTCCCCGCGCAGCAGGCGCACTTCCCGCTGCAGCAGCAGCACGAGCTCTCGCTCCCGCTGCAGCAGCAGCAGCAGCAGCAGCAGCAGCAGCAGCAGCAGCAGCTGCTGCTGCTGGGGGCCTCGCCCGCGAAGGTGCTGCTGCCGTTCTCGCGGCTCTCCCGCTACGCCCTGGACTCCCTGGAGTATCTGCTGCAGTACTTCGCTGACTTAGCTGCTGCTGCAGCAGGATCTGCTGTTTTCCCGCTGCTGGTGACCCGCACTTACAGCAGACTCCACCGCAGCCTGCAGACAGCAGGCCAGTTCTTTGCTGCTGCAGTCCACGCCCACAAGATAGCCCTCGCGCTGCAGCAGCAGCTGCAGGCCCTCAAGGACCAGCGCCGCCTCGCTGCTGCTGCCAGCAGCAGCAGCAGCAGCAGCAGCAGCGGGGGGGGTGGGGGCGGGGCTGCTGCGGGCGGCAAGCCGCGCTGAGGGCAAGGGCCTCCTGCTGCTGCTGCTGCTGCGGCGGCGGCGGCGGAGGAGTGTTTGTGCATGCAGGTTGCATGCGCAACTGCATGCGTAAGTGCATGCACTTTTGCATGCAGTCTTCCTCTTTATTTATCCCCTCCAGGCCGCCTCCTTGCTGCAGAACTCCCGCGCTTTTTGAAAGGGAACAGCTGAGAAGGCCTCCTGCTGCTGCTGCTGCTGCTGCTGCTGCTGCTGCTGCTGCTGCTGCTGCGGCGGTGGGGCGGTGGCGCTGCGGTGTACGTACAGCTCAGCTCGGCGCCGAGAGCTGCAGGCGGAAGCAAAAGAGCCTCGAGTTATTTCAAATTATTAAAAATGAAAACTCTTTTCCTTTTAACTTTAATTATTTGGATTTCCGACAAACGCAGCCCCCGCAGCTACCCCTCGAGTGTCTGTACACCCGAACTTAATCTTTTTCCTCCACTCTCCCCTTTCAACTCCTTCACAAAAACAGCAAGCTGGTTCTAAAAAACTAAATTATAAATTAAATAAATAAATAAATAAATAAATAAATAAATAAATAATGAGAGAATACAAATGGGGAGCTGTATCGGCACCAGAAAGACTCTTTTTGCAAAACTCGAAAAGCTGCAAAACCCGAATTCGAGGAATTTGGCGAAAATGGACGAAAAAAGAACCACCAAAGGCCCCCAAAACAAATAAAAATGCAAATAAAGATAATTAATTCTCAAAAAAGACAAAAAATTAAAACTTTTTGCGCTAAAACGAAAGAAAACGAACTGAGGGGCCCCCGAAGCTGCGGTGTACGTACACTGCAGGAAACGCCGCAGTGGCACTTGGCGAAGTCGCAGCCGAAAAAGCGGAAAAATGAGAATTTAAAAGCGAAAAAGGAAATTTAAATACAAATAATAAAAAGAATATCAAAAATATAACTCCAAAGAGGTAATTGGAGCAAAAACGGAAACAAAACTCCAAAAAATCCGAAAAAAAATCAACTTTCCACTTCGGCCATTAATCCGGAATGAAATCTGCAGCAACTTCCCTCAAAAGTATCCCATTTAGAGTTCTTTTGCACTTTTAAAGTGTTCAAAAGTTAGCGAAATTAATTTTAATTGTTTTGTCTTTGAAAATGTCAATTTAATTTAATTTAAATGCCACAAAATGTTAATTTAATTTAATTTAAATGCCACAACTGGCACAAATAGCGGAAAGCCAGGAAGCAAAAGCTCCCGCCGAAGTGCCCCAAACTTTATTTCATTTTAATTCAAAAAAAAGATTTTTAAAAATACAGTTTGCAGCAAATGCTCCACTCGCGGCCCTAAAGCTCTTGCTGCTGCTGCTGCTGCTGCTGCTGCTGCTGCTGCTGCTTTTGGTGCCGTTGCTGCTGCAGCTATTGCTGCTGCATGTGTACTGCTCTTTGTATTCCTACAGCTCGTGCTGCTGCTCCTGCCATTGCTGCTGCAAGAGCTGCAGCTGCTGCAGCTTTTGCTTTCGCTACTGTTCCTGCTATTGTTGCTGCTGCTGCTGCAGCTGCTGCTGCTGCTACTGCTGCACCTATTGCTGCTGCTGCAGCTCTTTCTGCTGCTGCTTCTGCATTAGAAAACGGCTGGCAGTAGTTACGCACAGGACTCGGGCCGGGCCGCTGCTGCTGCATCGCCGGCAGCAGCAGCAGCAGCAGCAGCAGCAGCAGCAGCAGCAAAAGAGCAGCGACAAACAAGAAACAAAAGAGTCAAAAGAACAATTTATAAATTAATCTCCACATTCCATATTATCCCCATCACCGCTGCCCGAAGGCATTGGAGGCGGCGGCATAGAAGGGGCACTAGGAGGGGGTACAGATGGGGGCACGGGGCCCCCAGGGGCCCCCCCAGGGGCCCCCCCAGGGGGCCCCCCCGGGGGCCCCCCCGGGGGCCCCCCCGAGAAGTCGCCCCCGGGGCCTCCCGGGGGCCCCCCGGGGGGCCCCCCTGGGGGGCCCCCAGGGCCCCCCGGCAGGGGGCTCCCAGGTACCCCAGGGGGTACTGCTGGCCACTGGCCTCCCGGTAGAGGCATATAGGGCATTGGGGGCCCCATGGGGGCCCCCCACATGCCTGCAGCAGCAGCAGCAGCAGCAGCAGCAGCAGCAGCAGCAGCAGCAGCAGCGGTTTAGGAGTTTGCGGTCAGGGCGCTGAGGTGAACATGCGACACTGGAAGAAGCAACAGCAGCAACAGGAATGAGAGCAGCAGCAGCAGCGAAGGTAACAGCAGAAGCAACTAAAGCAAGAGCAGCAGCAGCAGCAGCAGCAGCAGCAGCAGCAGCAGCAGCAGCAGAACCTCACCCATCATGGGCATCCCCCTGTCTCCGCCATAGTGCTGCTGCGGCGGCGGGAAGTTCATCATAGGCCACGGCATTCCCCCTGAACAGCAGCAGCAGCAGCAGCAGCAGCAGCAGCAGCAGCAGGATTGTAAAAGTAGCGCTTAAACTGTGGATTTTGCCTCTCAATTACTCCCCGTCTGCCACACTTTCAGGGTTTAGGGTTTAGGGTTTAGGGTTTGGACTCACCCGGCGGCAGGGGCCCCATAGGCATCATCCCCATGGGGGGGCCCCTCATGGGGTTTCCGCCCCAGGGCATATCTCCCATGCCCATGGGGCCCCCCGGGGGGCCCCCGGGGGGCCCCCCTGGGGGCCCCCCGGGGGGCCCCCAGGGGCCCCGGGGGCCCCCCGGGGGCATCCCGTGGGGGCCCCTCCCCATGGGGCCCCCCATGCGGCCTGGCCCCAGCACAATGGGGGGGGAGTGCTGCTGCGGCCCCGGGGGGCCCCCATGGGGCCCCAGGGGGCCCCCCGGGGAGGCCCCTGGGGGCCCCAGGGGGCCCCCCGGGGGCCCCAGGGGGCCCCCAGGGGACATCCCCGGGGGAGGGGTATAGCCCTGGGAACTGGGGGAGGCCCCCATGGGGCTGCCGGGGTAGGGGGGCCCCCCGGGGCCCCCGGGGCCCCCGGGGGCCCCCGGGGGGCCCCCCTGGGGGTGGGTACGGGGCCCGTCGGGGGCCCCCAGACCCGACTTGTCCCCTGTTAGTTCGTCCATCATTCTGCGGTATTCCTGAAGAAGCAAAAGAAGGAAATGTTCAAAAAGAAACTGCATGCATGCATTTGCCTCGATTGCTGCTTAAGTAACGAAATCTTGCATGCGTGACACTTCACAACCAGCAGCTACAGATTAGAGTTTAGACAAATGGAAGGCAACTCGCCGCTGCTGCTGCTGCTGCTGCTGCTGCTGTTTCCGCTGCTGCTGCTGCTGCTGCTGCTACTACCACTACTACTACTGCTGCTGCTGCTGCTGCGGTCACAGCTGCTGCAGCTGCTACTGCTGCAGCTGCTGCTACCACCACTACCACTAGTACTGCTACTGCTGCTGCTGCTGCTGCTGCTGCTGCTGCTGCTGCTGCTGCTGCTCACCATGTCAATTCTGTAGCTGTCTGCGCAGCTGCGCATTGGCGGCCGCATCCCCATAGGCGGCGGAGGGGGGGGCCTCCCTCTTGCTGCTGCTGCTGCTGCTGCTGCTGTTCCTGCTGCTGCTGCTGCTCCGTCGCCCCGCCGCATTTTGCAGTCCATCGTCACGTGGCCCAAGTCCCCACAAATGGCGCAGCGCTGCAGCAGCAAAACGCATGCAAAATGCATGCAAAACGCATGCAAAACGCATGCAAAACGCATGCAGAGTGCATGCAAAACGCATGCAGAGTGCATGCAAAATGCATGCAAAGTGCATGCAAAACGCATGCAAAGTGCATGCAAAACGCATGCAAAATGCATGCAAAGTGCATGCAAAACGCATGCAAAATGCATGCAAAATACGTTAAAAAATGGCCCCAAAGCGCATGCAGATGCAGACATACAAACCCTAAACCCTAAACCCTAAACCCTAAACCCTAAACCCTAAACCCTGGAGGGAAATATATATGCAGCATCTGCGCATGCTTGAAGCTTCTCCTGGAAGATGAAACGCATGCGCTGTTAGAACTGATGGAATAAAATAAATGCAACAAAATAAAATAAAATAAAATAAAATAAAACAATTAAACAATTAAATAATTCAAAATTAATAAAATAAATAACCAAAAAGGACTTAAAAAGCCTCACCACTTCCGGGCGCTTGAAAGGCTGCAAGTCCCTATTGTCCGGACACTCGTGAGCTGTACGTACACCCCAACCCCACACCCCAAACCCTAAACCCCAAACCCCAAACCCCAAACCCCAACCCCCAACCCCCAAACCCTAAACCCAAACTAGGG